TCCATTATCAGTCGATCATTATACACCATTCGATAGCCCTTTTCAAGAGCTACATGTCTGACGGTTCAAATTTGAAAAAGCTCATTTTCGGCTTTTTGGCCAAATGTCCGCTTGAATGCCCACTGTGTGGCATTGGTGAAGTTGTGCAAATAGATGAATCGTTATTTCGTGGCAAGCGCAAGTATAATCGCGGCCGGCAATTACTGGGCAATCGTAGAAACGCAACGACAGCCTCCAACAACAACAACAACAACGGCCTCGTACAATACCCAAGTTCGACGTCCAGTGATGATTCAGATTCCAGTACTGTTCAAACAAATAACAACCGCAATTATGGGACAAGAGTTGATGGTAAGACAATTTTTTTGCTAGGAGAAACATTGAATAAAAACCCTCTTTTGTGCATTTAGGTCCCTGGATATTCGGAATTGCGCAGCCAACGGCAGAGGGATACGAGGCCCGTTTTTTCCATGTACAACGACGTGATGCTGCTACACTACTTCCAATTATCTGGAAAAATGTTTATCGTGGCACCACAATTTGGTCAGACGAATGGAAAGCTTATTGTCGTCTACAAACAACATACGGGTATGACCATCAAACGGTGAACCACTCACAAAATTTTATCGATCCACACACGGGCTGCCACACGCAACTTATCGAATCGTTATGGGGCGCAAAAACAAAGATTCTTAGAACAATGCGAGGAACAACTTTATTGGACTCACATCTGGCCGAATTCTGGTATCGTTCTGTTCATAAGTCAATGTTTCCATCTATTTTGAATGATATTCGACATTATCGTACAAAATAATCATCAATGTTTTGGTCGCGAACGAATTGAGATAGTAAATCATCATCATTTAAACGAAACATTCTTCATGTTTTCTTCTCCTTATCTGTCTTTTAGCTTTTCTTAATCGAATGTTCTTTGTTGCTTCTTTAATCAATTAATAAAGTTAATTACACATACGATAGTTTCTTTGATTTATCAGTGTTTACTTTAATCCTATTAGAAAAGACTAGAAACGGAACATTTTTCGTGTTTTTCAACAAGAAGAACACTTCTATCACTCTATCTATTCTATTCTATCTATAAGAAGGTGGAACACTTTTTTATTATGGGGAACACCAGCTATAATGTTACCATACATTCACGGTGGAACACCTGCTAAAGGAATACCTAGAGAGAGATGCATTGGGATAACCATTTTTTTCTTATCGATACATCACGGTAATTTCTAAACACTAACGATCTAGGGGTGAACAATCAAAGGAATATGACAAGAACAATCGTTCTCGCGCAAATGTAGTCCATATAGCCTGATGAGTCATCTTTTGCTATTTTCTTCTTTTTAATAAGAATAAGGTAACTAGGAAAAATATTCCTTTTTCGGGGAAAACAAAAAGGCAAGGTCAAATTTTTCCCTTTAGAGTGGGCAGTAGATAGAAAATTTATTTCTCAGCGGGGGAGCCAGAGGTGAGAGGACGGGAGTTTAGAATATCCCGTCCCGTAAGAAATGTGAAAAATTTCATCCCGTCTCGTTCTGTCTCGTCAATACGCAGGTTGACAGTTTAGTGTCAAGCAGAGCTTATAGCTAAAAAAATACTAGATACTCAAGTCGGATTTTATTCAACAAAATACATTGTTTTTTATTATTTATTAAATTAATCATCACTAACATTTGCGAATGTGATTTTAATAATATGCTGACTAGAGGTGGGCGGGATTGGGATTTTGGCTATCCCATCCCGTCCTGAACCTATTCAGCTTTCACTTGTCCCACCATATATTAAAAACAGTGCTTTCCGCCTTAGTATACGTGTATACACTGATGTCTGCGCAAAGTTCTAAAATTTTGCAGGTTTTGAAAACAGCACATGAACATAAACAGCTACGTTCCTATAGATGGTTTTCGAAAATTGCAGATCCATAACCACAACTGATGGGCGGGAATAATTCCAGAATAATAGCCTTGACTTTTTTTATTCAGGTTGTCAAAACACGTTTGAAAAGTAAAAAGGTTATGCATTTGGTACATTCCAGAAAAAAAAATGAGATATTTTGCGAAATATTAAAGAATCAATAAAAACGAACTATTATTCTTTTCTGAAAACGAGGCGGCTCGAGAGAATGCTTACCATATTTGAACGAAAAGTGCTAGAAACCTGTGGTTTTCAGATTCTAAACCTAGACACTCTGGGACATAAACCTATGAGCGTCCGATCAGGTTTACATAGTGTACCATTTGAGACAAAATCCGAAAGCTTACCGTTCCCAAATCACACTGATATCCTATCTCAAATAATAGCAATCGATAGTCAAAACATTTCTCTTCATTACTACGCAAGGCCCAGATCTTCATCTCCTTTCGTTCCGAAGATACAGACGTTTTCCGATGATACACATATCCCGTTGCAGACACGTCTGGGAATCTCAGAAACATGTGAATCATAGGTAGTCGACCACGCTGATCATCGTGGCGATGTTTGTTTCATTCCCCACTCGACCACAACTCCTGAAAACCTGGTTTAGTGAAAAGTCGGTTTTTTGCCTGTTACCGGCAAAAATTAGAAACCGTACATTTCACTTATATCTCGTTCAAAAAGACTGAAAATGATTAGCAGAGATCATACA